ATAAATATACACAAATATATACATACATATATATATATATTACTTATAAATCTCCATTACTCTACGCTCAACTGACTATCATAGAATATCATGCACTTACTTACACGCTTATACGGAGCTTTATAGTTGCATGTGCAATGTATTTGTTTATCCTGGGAGCTGTAATTGTATGAGGAATGCTCATAGAGCTGAATCATGTTTACTTTGTAGCTCTATAAACAGCTATTAATCGCTGATCCTATATTACTAATATAAAAATTTTCCCATCCTATTCTATAAATATGTATATGAATATATACACGATTTTTGAAATTACTGTAAACACTTTGTATGGCTTAATATGGTCAAAGATGGTCAACTCAGCAACATCATGGTAAGAAAACTAAAAAGCAGTGCACTGTATTAAAGGGGCAAATAGAATAGGAAGTTTGAAGATCATATATACTTCTATTTATTAAAAATATAAGGGACAAGAAAAATAAATAATGATTCATTAAATTTACTTAATATAATGTGCCTCTTTTCTATGTTTATTTAATAACAAACTTTATAATTTATAATTTTATTAAAATTCGTTAAAATGTAAAACTTTTATAATCATAACATCCGATTGGCATACATAAATTGGCAAATTGTAAATGAAACCGCCCTACAGTGCGTTGCGGATAAACCCTCCACAGTTGACGGAACGACCAGCGAAGTGGTGGGACTCCCAAGCAGACAAATCCTTAATAGTTGGCTGCTACAAACACGGCTACGAGAATTACGACCAGATGAGGATCGATCCCGCGCTTTCTTTCATTACAAGCTGCCCTCCCCCTTCCCAGTCTCAGACCATACAAAATAAGTAAGTAATTATTCTCTTTACGTTGTTTTTTTATATCTATGTGCCACTGCTGTTTCATTCTAACATATATGGCTTGCATGCTGTTTAAATTTGCTTAAGATAATGCCTCTGCTAGAATTAGTGTAAATTTTCCTTTTCATTTTATTCATACTTTTATTCGTAATTTAACAATGGAAGAATTTTGTATTTTTACCTGTTTTAAAATATTACTTTCTACTAGCTTTTATTTACAGTGGAGAAGGATGATGCATATATACACCAAACAATATGCAAAAATCTTTAAGTGTTTTTTATAAGCAATCAATTATATTGTATATACTTAATAACTTATGTTTACAATGTAACTTTTTAGTACCTACAGCATTATAAAGTGATAAACGTGGAAATCTTTTTAGTTTTGATATTGTATACCTTTAAATTATATTTTGAAAATAACGATTATATTTATAATCGGTTAAGTATATGTATGTTTTCACGATTAAATACATACTAGAAAAATTTGTTTAGTGGAAATATAAAAATTAAGAAGATATGATTAAAATATGTGATGTAAATTAGATATTAACTTGGGGTATTTTAAAATTTCAGCAGCAGCAGCAGAGATGATACTAGTTTAGAAAATGACATCGAAGATGCTGAATCTCTTGGAATGATGAAAGATTCGAAAGATTCTGATAAATTTAATCGAGAAACACCTACTGATTCACCTGCTATACCTATTAAGGCAGATACACCTGGACCTGAACCTAGTAGTAGCCACGAAGGAACTGATGGCCTATTAGACGATGAAAAGACCTGGCCTTCCGTGGTTGACCTTAATACTCGTTTACGTCGAGTAATTTCTTCTTATCAGCGAAGTGTGAAGAAGGAAGATGTAAAAGTATTACAAAAATCTAAGTTAGGAATGGAAGGTGACACAACTGTGAATCATGCTACTTCAATGAATGAACCACCTTTAAATATGCAAGGTTGGGACTTGCAGCAACTTGCTATGTATCTTCTGGTAAGTTATCATATTTGAAGTATTATCTCATATAACAAAAAAATCTATAATCTAAAATGTAATAAATTTTTAATTATATGTAGAAAATGGAAAGAAGGGAAAAAATGGAAGCAATGGTAAAAGAAAGAGAACGAACTCGTATAGAAGAACAAAAGACAAAATGGTCACGTCGTGAAGAAAGTGAATTTTTACGAGTTGTATCAACGTACGGTGTTAATTATGATAGAAAGAAAGCTCAATACGATTGGACAAAATTTAAAAGTATAGCTAGATTTGACAAAAAAACAGACAATGATCTTACAGATTATTATATGTCCTTTAGAGCAATGTGTAAAAAAGCATGTAATGCTAAATTGAATGATGAAGATGGTAGGTTTATTATTACGCTCATACATAGCTAGGAAATCATAATATCACAAATATGAATATCTGTTACATTAAGGTTAAATATTAAATACTTTTAAGTATGAAAATATTGAACATGAAATACATATCTCAGATTTTTCAGATGTTCCTGTTGATCACCTCAGTCCAGCAAAAGCGAGACAAATATTAGATCGTGTAGATCTTCTAAGCAAAATCCGTGAGGAAATTTTGTCTCATCCTCATCTGGAAGAACGCCTTTCCTTATGTCAGCCATCAGGTGACACACCTGATTGGTGGCAACCGGGAAAACATGATAAAGAACTACTACTTGGAGCAGCCAAACATGGTTTAGGAAGAACTGACATAACTATTTTAAATGATCCTGATTTCTCATTTCATAAACTTTTGAATAAAACTCTGTATAGTAATATTCAAACAACTAAAGTTGCGGACAAAGCAGAAAAAGCAATTAAAATTGAAAACAGAGAGGATATACTGAAATTTGATAAAGATGAAATACTTGTAAAATTAGAAAAAGGTGAAGGTACTTTAAAAATAGAAAAAGTAGGTGCAAAGAAAGACAAAGATATAAATAATGCAGATAAGCGAACAGAGAATACAGATTTGGAAAAGAGTCAAGTAGAATTAACTATTATCAAAGCTGAAAATAAAACTGAAGAAAAACCTATTAGTAATGCATTAACTATTACAACTGTTGCAAGAAATACATCATCAGACAAGGAACATATTGCAAAAATAAAAACTGAAGAAAAAAATGAAATAATAATAGAATCAATAAAAAGTGAAGTTCCTCCTAAAGCTGATCAAGTTATAGGAACTAACAAAGTAGATGAAACAAAAACAAATAACGTAACAACGAATATTGAAGAAACGACACCCATAAAAACAGAAAAAGAAAGTCAGAATAAAGAAAAAGAAATACCGAAAGAGGTTGAAAAGGAAAATCAAGAAGAAAAACCGAAGGAGTTACAAAATCAAGAAGTAAATGAAAAAATTTCACCAGAACAAAACGAAACTACTGAAACAACAGAAAAACCTATAGAAAATAATCAAAATGTAACATCTGAAAATGATAAAACCAATATGAAAACGAATGCCTCAGTTGTTAAAGAGGAGATAGAAGTACAAGAAGGCAAAACGGTAGATATGTGCAAGGATAAAGGAAAGGTTTGCAAACTCGAAGATAAGTGTAATGTTCAAGCAGCAGAACTCAAAGCAATGTTTCCTGATTTGGAAGTTATTCAACCGTTGTCGCGGTTAACGCAAATTGATACATTTGTTCTTCGAGACAAAGCAGTAGATTATAATGAACCTACGGTTGTGCAACTTTTATCACACAATAGTAATAACACTATTAAATGGCCAAAGGTAAATGCAATTTCATTTATTTGCATAATATTTTTATGTATATTCTAACCTGATTCAGGAAATCATGGAACATATGTGATGTCTGTAGTGTTTTTAAGCTTGCAAATATGTACGACCGGTAGCGTGTGGAAAAGTTATATTTTTGGAGTTTCTGTATACTTAGTTGATGTACTAAAGCACATTCAAAAGAAGATTGGATAGTATGAATGCAAATCTAGAATGTTTCTATGAGAAAATTACACTTGTTAAATTTGGCTTGTGTAAGCAAGTCTATACAAAATACATATACATATTCATTTTGTTCATTTAAATATTTTTATCGTATTGGTATTGCATTTTTACGTGTTTCCTTTATTTTTTAGGAGCATGCAATTGAAGCTCGTTTAATGCACATCGTACATGCAATTGAACACAAAGAATGGCCTGTATCTGTAAACTTTAGTGCTGGTGATGAATCAGATGTTCCATCAAATGAGAAAGAATGTTCAGAAGTGATCACTATAACTACAGATCATGGAATATCACGCAATATAACATCTGGAAATAATATGTCACAATCTAAAAAACGCAAAAGACATATTGCTATTGATGTAGAAACCGAAAGAGGTAACATTAACATGAATTAAACTAATATATGATTCTACCATTCTAAACAATTATAACATGACATTCTTTTAAAAAAATTAGTTCATAAATATTGTTTTTTTTTTTTAATTTATAGCGAAACTGCATGCATTATTGAATAGTAGTAGCCATACAGTTACTCAATCACCTGCGACTTTAAATAAACCTGCTGTACTGTCTGGATCAAATACGTGGGAAATAAATGACGAATCACAATCCGAAGAATCAAGACGCTCGACACCGGTTCAACCACCTCCAGCGCATCAGCAAACACGAACACCAAATATACCCTTTGATTTGAAATACACAGTTCCTGGTAAATCAACTGTAATTCCTGGAACTTCAAGTACTTTAACTCCTATCGATTTATCTG